TGAGGGGTATGGATAGGGTGAATAGCCAAAGCATTTTTCTCCCCCCAGGCTAGAGGAATCCAAAACTAGAGGGGCATAGGTTTAAGGTGAGAGGGGGAACGATTTAAAAGGGTCTTGAGGGGCAACATTTTCATGCAGAGGGCAGTGCATGTATGGCATGAGCTGCCAGAGGATGTGGTGGATGCTGGTATAATTACAACATTTCAAAGGTGTCTGAATGGGTATAGGAATAGGAAGGGTTTAGAGAGATAGGGGTCAAATGCTGGCAAATGGGACTAGATTAATTTAGGATATCTGGTCAGCATGGACGAGTTGGACTGAAGGACCTGTTTCTTATGACTCTATTAATAGGGACACAGAGTAAAAGATCAATGAAATGATATTGAACTTATATGAAGTATTGTACACAGCATGTTAGGAGGGATGCGATAGCACTAGCAAGGCTGCAGAAGGGATTTACCAGGATGTTGTCTGGGGCTGGAGAGTTTCAGTTATGTAGAAGAATTGGATAGATTGGAGTTGTGTTCCTTGGAACAGAAAAGACATAATCAAGATCAACAACATTGAGGGGCACGGACAGGATAGACAAGAAGAAACTTTGGTTCCCATTGGTGGGGGGATCAATGACCAGGGGTATAGATTTAAAGGTAAGGGGCAAAGATTTAGATTTTATTGTCATGTATGCTCAAGTACAGGAGTACAGTGAAGTGTATAATGTCACCACACATAGCAGCATCTTCGGCATAGAAGTACCTAGGTACAAAAGAACTTGTATAGTATAAAAGAAGCAGAGTTAAAAAGTCACCTTCCTAGAATAGGTAGGAAATAAGGTAATAGTTAACATTAAAGTTCTTCTTAAACTAGAAAACTAAAGGAATAAGGTTAAATGTTCAACAGTCTTTGATGGGTCCTCCACTTGGCTCGCTGTCCAGGAGGGCTCAGTTGCTGGTTCTCGACACTGCTACAGATAGTGAGCCACTCCCTCAGTGCTTGCCCTTCGTTGGGCTGCAATGCCATTGCAGCTGCTGCCTCCCCATCTCCCTCAGTGCATCTGAAACACGCCCTGGCAGGACCCACTCGCACGCCACACTGGGCCGAGGGACCAGGCAGAGACCACCAATAGGTACGGACGCTAGGAGTGAAGGAAGAAAACACCAAGAGACGAGAAACAAAAGGAACAGAAACAAGAGGGCACAGTGTCGTGCGAAAGCAGCAAATGTGGGAGGAGTGAAAAGAAAAAAAATCTTTTTTGCGTTAGGGTCTGGAATGCATTGCCTAGAAATATAGTGCAGGCACGTCCAATTGAAGCATTCAGGAGGGGCATTGGATGGTAATTTAAATAGAGACAGTGGGCAGGGTTACAGGAAAATGGCATTAAGTCACAGCAGGGTAGTCCATACAAACATGATAATCTGAATCACTTCACGACTTGTGATACCAGCTTTAACTGGCTGTCATAGTGGGGATTTGAACCACGTCCCCAGGACTATTACATCCTAAAGGCAAAGAATTGTAACATTAACTCAGTTTTTTCTTCACAGATGCTGCCAAACCTGCTGTGCCTCCAGCAATTTCTGTTTTTGTTCCTGATTTGCAGCATCCGCGGTTCTTTGTTTTTAATTATAACATGGGGTTGTTTGTGTTATGATCAGGGCCCTCAGGCAGAAACCAAAATGGATAATCTGCTGAGGCGAACAGAAATTGCTGGAGAAACTCAGTAGGTCTGACAGTATCTGGGGAGACAGAAAGTAGAACCAGTTCTGAAGAAGGGTCACTAGACTTGAAACATTAATTCTCTCTCACTCTCCACACAATTGCTGCCAGACCTGCTGAGTTTCTCCAGGAATTTCTGTTTCGCATTTCCAGCATCTGCAGTTCTTTTGTTTTATGTTAGAGATCCAAGCTCCAACCTTGTATTTTATCCACAGATATTAAGGACGAGCAGGTTCATGGAGCTTCCTCCTGTTGTAGTTTAAAGCGTGGATTGCTGTTAACTATCACATGCAGCAGTGTCAATCTGAGCCCGATCCATCACACTGCTTCCGCAGCTGTGTGTCTGTCTTACGTTGACACTTCACTGGTTTGGTAGCGTGCTTTTCAAACACTGCTGGCTGAACCAGGGGGTTTAAACTTAGAAACAAGTTTAATTTTTGGGCATGGATGTGACTGCACTAGATCCCAGTGATCAACATCCCTCGTGACAAGCAGATTGTCCCCTCTCCAAGTTTTGGGCTATGAGATGTACTGACTCTGTATCAGGTGTAATCAGTCTACTCCAGGACACGCACAACCTGAAACAAGATAGCTGGCATTAAACCAGACTCCTGGAAACAGGCAACTCTGCAAAATGACCACTTCCCAAAACAAAAGCAAAACACTCCAGCACAAATTGGATAATGGAAAAATGTTTCTCACCAATACTAAAAGCCCTTCCTTGTCAATTGGGACCACTGCGTGGCTCTAACGCATCAAGACTCTTGGACAGAGATAGTAGAAACTGCCGATGCTGGAGAATCTGATATAACAAGGTGTAAAGCTTGATGAACACAGCAGGCCAAGCAGCATCAGAGGAGCAGGAAAGCTGACGTTTTGGGTCTAGACCCTTCTTCAGAAAGCCAGCCTTCCTGCTCCTCTGATGCTGCTTGGCCTGCTGTGTTCATCCAGCTCTACACCTTGTTATATAGGACTCTTGGACAGACTGCGTTCAAGGGCCTTCTTCCAATCACTAATGTAGATAAAAGATACAGTTTAGTTAGCACAGACGCTATTAGGAGCAGGCAGCATAGAAACGGAGGTATTTTTAGACACCTAGAAATATCTTTTATATATATTCTTTATTGCCACTTGCATTCAATATAAAATACAGTGAGGTATGTACCATCGCTGGTACATAAGCACCATTCACAGAATATAAGTTATCTTTAAGAGAGCCCAACTTTGCCTTCTCCACTGCTACAGCTCACCGTCACCAGATTCCCACTGCAGGCTTTCCAGCCCATGCCATACCGCTGTCAGAGTCCCCTCCACGTGGGAGCAAGTGCCCCACTCCAGGCTTCACAGGCTAATCGACCATCTCTTCAGCCACGCTGCCTCTGAAAACGCTGCCGCTGCTCTGGAGCCCATTGAAGCCTCCTGCTGCTGAAGAGCTCTCTTTATCAGGTGTATTTGAGGGAAACAAAAAGGGTAGAAGGAAAAGGAAAAGTGCAGATGAGGAGGACAATCCCAGGCACAGGAGCCCAAATGCTGCCTACTCCACTACCACCTTGATTTAGGTGCTAAGAAGTTAAACTGTGCAAACTCTGCACGTTCTCCCTGGGTCTGTGGGGGTTTCCTCGGGTGCTCTGGTTCCTCCCATAGTCCGAAGATGTGCACATTAGGGTGGACTGGCCATGGGAAATTGTCCCAAAGTGCCCAGAGATGTGCACGTTAGGGTGGATTGGCCATGGGAAATTGTTCCAAAGCACCCAGGGTTGTGCAGGTCAGGGGGTGGACTGGCCATGGGAAATTGTCCCGTAGTGCGCAGGGATGTACAGGTTAGGTGTATGGTGTGAGGGGAAGATTTAAAATGGATGTTAAGTGGCTACATTTTCACACAAAGTGCTGCGCGTATAGAACAAGCTGCCAGAGGAAGTGGTGGAAGTAGGTACAATTACAAGATTTCAAAGGCATTTGGACGGGTACACAAATAGTAAGGGTTTAGAGGGATATGGGCAAAATCAAAGAATAAGATAGGTGGAGAGTTCAAGACTGGAGACCGCTTACAGGAAGAGTGCAGAAACCGCAGGGCTAAAATTAAAACAAGGAAATCAGTGAAAGCAAAGAAAAGGCACGAAAGAAACATTGGTGAGTTAAATAAAAATCAACAAATTGGAGAAGACGCTTCATAAATTCTTAAAACACAAGCGGGTAACTGGGAAACGATTAAAACGGCAACCTGACTGCGGTGAATGCTTTACTCTCCTCTCGTGAAGAGTTTTAATACTGCAGCTAAAGCAGAGGAGTGCGCGGTTTTGGAAAAGGTGCTTAGCATCCATGAAAAGTGGATAATCAGTGGTGTCGGGTTGGGAGGGGAAAGAGCAGAGAGTCTCACCGTGGACTTTCCAGCCCTTACCAATGACAATCCCGCTGCCAGAAGGCTGCTACAATTCTGGATCGTGACAGAACACTACCACCCAGTTTCAGGCCACTTGTTACAGGAAGGATGTGATCTCACGAAGAGAGGATATGGAGGAGATTTAATGACGGGGTTGCTGAGAATGGAGAATATTGGCAATTTTATGTTGGGGAGGCAACGGCCTAGTGGCGTTATTGCTGTACTGTTAATCTAGAGACCCAGGCAATGTTCTGGGGACCTGGGTTCAAATCCCGCTATGGCAGATGGCAATTCAAAAAAAAAATCTTGAATTAAGAGTCTAATGATGACCATGAATCGGAATTGTCAGAAAAATCCATCTGGTTCACTAATGTCCTTTAGGGAAGGAAACCGCCATCCTTACCTGGTCCAGCCTGACTCCAGACCACACAGCAATGTGTTGACCTTCAACTGTCCTCTGGGCAATCAGGAATGGGCAATAAATACTGGGCCCTGCCAGCAACGGCCACATCCCATGAACGCATTAAAAACAAAAATAGGATCAACTGGGGTTGTTTTTGTCGGCAAAGAAGGAGATTGATCAAATTGAGTTACCCAAAATCACAAGGGGCATCGATTTAAAAGTGATTTCTGTAAGGATTAGCAGGGATTTAAGAAGAAGTATTGCAAACAGAGGACAGCTTCCCAAGAAGGTATTTGGTGATGAACTTGAAGTGCTGTAACTAACAGACTAAAACCTTGAAAGTGGGATTAGGTTGGATAGCTCTTTCAGAGGCGAGACACAATTTATGGTCTTAGGAAGGGCCACATGGCCTTTCTCTGTATCACAGACTCTACATACCTTCCTGTTCCTTTCCAATATTGCAAAAGCCTTGACAGCCTACAGCACAGAATGACAGACTAAAAATGTTTTTCAAACTAAACTTTTAATGAATCTTCTTTGTATTTTTTTTTCCTTTGTCCAAAGTACTAATGGGCATAACAGAACCCCCTCCCCTCTTGCACACTTGGATATCAAGACACAGGCAAAAAAAAAAAGGATAGAGGTCGCATTCGAAATTCTGAGATCAGAACCAGAAGTTCCCCTTTCTTTTCTTAGCTCTCTCTCTTTCTTTCTCGCTCCCTCCTTTTTAAACATTCAAATGTTGAAGTGAATCAAACCAGCTTTTTATTTATTCCAGAATTTTCCAAAAAATCTAAACGAATAAATATGAAAAAAGCATGAACTTGGCTAGTGACTTTTTTGTTTTTGCACATATTTTACAACTTTATGCTTTCTTCCTCACCCCATCTCCCCTCCCACTCGCGTCACAATGCACGCCTCGTGTGTCACTGTGCGATTAAATGGGGGATCTGGTTAAAAGCTAACGCCTTGCCATGATTCACAAATATAACCCTTGACCTCTTGCCGGCAGGTCTTCACTCCACTGCTGAATAGGGCCACCTGTGGATCAAAACTTGTAATATTTATTTACATCTTCAATATTTGCATGGATACAGAGATAAACAAAAGAACGAGACAAACAGCATAGTGAAAAGTGATGTTGAAACAAGTGGTCTCTGTTACCGAGTTAGCAACACCGGAGTCAATTATTTTCATGTTGGAATTCTCTGTTTTAAAAAAAATCCTCTTCTCCCCCCCCACCACCCACTGATCCTTCCCATGTGCAAGTCAAGACAATCCAAGAATGTGCGCGTGCAGGCATTTGTGTACGCATGTACACGCGCGCACACACACACTTGTAAAAATGATGCAATTTAATAGAGTGATGGAGGAGGATTTGGGGGTGGAGGGGGTGGGGGAAAATGAAAAAAAAATTTCAAAGTCCATATTGTTTGTCCCTGTGTGAAGCGCTCACTCTAGAAATCCACTCAGCACAGGCAGTGCCTTTTCGTAACCTTTTTTTTTAAGCAAGTCTACTAAGGTCAGTCCGAGGAGACCCAAGTTACGCACATTTTACAGTCTTGTTAAAAATATCCTCCCATTGCGCACTGCCTTTTATTTCTCAATCTTCCGCCGATCGTTTGCTCGTTCATTCATTCCTTCCTTCGATCTGAAGCTTTCAGGCAAGGCCAAATCCTTCCGAACACTCCTGTATAGCGAGCAGCAGCATGTGACGCAGTTTCTCATAGCTCTCGTAGGCTGGGAGGTCCAGTTGGTTAAAGCTGAGGAGGATGAGGAAAATCATTCAGGTGGGTTGGATAATCAATCCTTTTGTCCCCCTTTACTGAAATCTAAACTGCTCCCAAACCTCAGGTCTTCTTTTCTTTTTGGCTAATTTGTATGTCTCTTGCTTGGAACTAAAACTAACTCTAATTAACCATAATCGGGGCACAACTTTCCCATTTTAGTTTTGTGCCAGACTGCAGTAATTGCTGCTGTTCCTCTCTGTGCTCTTTAAAATGTTTCCACTGCCTTTCTGCCATAATCTCTAAGTAATTCATCATAGCTAGCTCACACCTCTCACCATGCTAGTTTCCTCTGTTCAGATTCAGGCCCCTAGTCTCAGAACCAACTATGTCATTCTCCATCTTGACATGGAATTCTATCAATCAGATTATGCTCACTCTTCCCCAAGGGGCTACATACACCCAGGTTGTCAATTATTCTTATGCTAAACTCCACCCGTACAGATTCCATCTCACCTGAGCTAATATCCTTCCTTACTTATTGCGTTAACCAGCGATGCTACCCCACCCCTTTCCCCCTGTCCATCCTTCCAAAAAAAAAACTGAATACCCCTAGATATTCAGTTCCCATCCTTGGTCACCCTGCAGTGCATCTGTAATCCTAGCTATATCTATTCGTGCTGCTAATTCCTCCTCTTTATTGTAAATGCTCTGCACATTAAGACAACGCCTTAAGGCTGTTTGGTTTGATGGGGAGCAGGGGCGCATCTAATCAGATTTACTAACAAGTTAGATTTGTTTAACAGGAGATGGGAGCCCCGTGATATAGTGGTAATCAAATCAGCTATGACCTTACTGAATGACAGCCGTTAATGGACTGTCTTGCTTCTGTGGGCTTTGTTTTAAGTACAACTACAGTACACCACAGTTAGATATAGTGAAAGAGCAAGGAAAGACCTTTCATCTCTCCAGCACCACAGGGTATTCCAAAGAATTTCAAATGGATAGCTCTAGAACTGGGCAGGGGAGGGGCACTATTGAAAAATAACTGGGATACCGATGAGGTGAGGGAGGAGGAGAACTTTATTTTACTCAGAGGGACATGACCTTTGGAATTCTCTATCCTAGAGGGCTGTGGAAGCTCAGTCTTTGAATATATTTAAAGTATCAGTGGTGTACAGGGTCATGAGGTGAGCGAAAGGCAGTGCCTGATCAGCAGGCAGGCTTGCCAAGATGAACTGCCTCCTCCTGTTCCCACATTATTTAAAGGATGTGCTTCCCAGGTACGTTATAGCATCTGAAATGCAGCAAGCTCCCATAAACAGCGCAGCAATACGAGAAGGAAGCGATTTTGTTTCAGAATTTAAGAAAAACTGCGGGGTCTTGGTTTAAGGACTCAAAGATGCAGCTCTGGCACTGCAGCTCTCTGAGCGCCTGGAGCGGACACTGCCATAGCCAGGACCAGCCAGACGACATGATCTCCCGCGGTGAATCCTTACCAAGTGTGAGCCGAGGGCAACCGGTCAGTCGAGCGATCGTCTCTGTGAATCTGGAACTTCTGGATGCCATTCATTCCCTCCAAGGCTGCAAAGCCCTGGAGCGGGACCTTGGAGGTGCCGGTAACAAACTGCAGGAACTTTGCACGATCAGCCTGGTCGAAGGAACGCAGCGCCCGCCAGAACCACTGGATCTGTGGATGAAAACATGGTGCTGTGAAACCATTCAACACAGGAACGGATGCCTGCCCAACGCACGTCAACCCATTCCATCACAAAGAACCAAATGCTAGTACAGAGGCCACGGGCAGAATGGTCTCCTTCTGCAGCGCGATAACTTGGGAGATACTGTCATCTCCTGTCAACAGTGTGACGCTTGCTCAGAGGGACAAAGCAGCTAGCAATTCCACCCCCTCTGTTTCAGCAGCTTTTATTACAAGGGGACCCCAGGAGGTGCTAAAATACCCGCATGCACTCGGCAATCTGATAAACCGGCTCCAATTTTACACCCCTGCGCATCCCCAGCGACCCCTTTGATAATCCTGACAGTCCAGCCGGTCTTGCTGCACATGGACACTGGCTGCTTCAGTATCGAAGGAGTCGCGAATGGTGCTGAACATAGTGCAGCGAACGTCCTGTTCCTGCCCTGACAACGGATGGTATTTTACAAAGCGGTGGCCACATTTCTAATCAAGCAGCAAAAGACAGATTTACAAGGGACTTATTACAAATCTACTATTCCCTTCTGGAACTCTACCCTGTTCAACTGCCTCCCTCCTGCAGAAAGTGGGACCCCCAGGAGGAAGTACAGGGGGCAAAGGAAAGGCCCTTGCTCTTGACCCTAAGGCCACATCATTGCCTCAAACCCTCGCAGTGCCTCAAGCCTGCTCCACTGTTCAATTCAACATTGCACAATCTTTCAAGACATGCGGAGAACTAGGCCATTCAGCCCATCTGGTCTTCGCTGCCATTCGTGGCTGATCTGATGAGCCTCCAGACAGCGGAAAAACCCAGCTCGCCAATACCAAGTCCCATGAGCATCACGTGCTCAGTCAACTTTGGAGCTGCTGTTTAACTTTTGAAGAAACCTGGATTTCAAACACTGAAAAGAGGGGAGGCCAAAGTTTTGGTAAAGTATTTCCTAACCCATAAACACAACTTCTCCTTCATTCTTCCAGTGACAATCCTCTTTACAGACACATGAGCTTGTGGAAACAATCACCCACCATTTAACCTCTTAAGACATCGGGATTTCCCCTTGTACTTCTAAGGGGAAGAGAGTCAGTTTTAAGAGCATCTTCAAAATGAGCTCGCAGTCCCCACCGGTACTGTACCCCAGTGTTATACAGCGACAGACCCGTCCCCACGGGTACCGTACCCCAGTGTTATACAGTGACAGACCCGTCCCCCACCGGTACCGTACCCCAGTGTTATACAGGGACAGACCCGTCCCCCACCGGTACCGTACCCCAGTGTTATACAGCGACAGACCCGTCCCCCACCGGTACTGTACCCCAGTGTTATACAGTGATCATTTCCTTGCCAGACATAGCCCACACATGCACTAACAGGCTGATATGTTCCTGTAAAATATGCTGGTACAGTTTTGGCAACATCACAATTCGAGAGATTGATCTGACTGGACATGGATAACACGGCACTACGTTTAGAGTGTGGTGCATAGGCGATGACAACTGCTCTGGGCCTCACCTGTATGGAGTTAATCTGGTATTTGTGGTATTCAGTGTTCGCTTTCAAGTCGTCGATGTCGATAGTTGGCAAACCGGAAATGAGAAGTTCCAGCTCCTGCTCGGTGAAAATGGAGATCAGCCTCTTCGGAATAATCTCGTAAAAGCCCTCCAAGAAGGCAGCCAGCTGTTTCCGGATTGCACCTGCCCCAGGACACACAAGAAACTAAAATCAAGATCTTTACGAGGAAGCTTTTGCTGCTCAAACACAGCCTCAATCTCCTCCTCCTGCTCCCTTCCCCGGTCACAGGTACAAACCAGTTCAAACTGCCTCACTTACCGGTCATCTTCATCTGACAAACCAGATGGACGTACTCCTTCTTATTTTCTTCAGTTACGATGATGTGCGCTCCGTTCGGTTTCAGCTCCCGTACCTCGCACACTCCAAACTCTTGCACCTGCAACGTAAGAAGCAAAGTACTTTCAAGCAATTTGTGCCTCCCTCCTGCAGAAAGTGGACCCCAGGAGGAAGTACAGGGGGCAAAGGAAAGGGCCTTGCTCTTGACCCTAAGGCCACATCATTGCCTCAAGCCTGCTCCAACTGTTCAATTCAACCTTGCACAATCTTTCAAGGCATGTGGAGAACTAGGCCATTCAGCCCATCTGGTCTTCGCTATCATTCATGGCTGATCTGATGAGCCTCTGCTCCACTTTCCTGCCTTTCCCCCACAACCCTCGATTCCCGTAACAATGAAAAATCTATCTCAGCCTTGAATATACTTAACGTCCCAGCCTCAACAGTCTGCTGCGGTAAAGAATTTTGTAGATACGTGACTCCACTGAGAGACGAAATCTTTCAGCAGTGTTCAATGGGTGACCCTTTACTGAGATGATGTGCCCTGGACCTACTCTCTCCCACAAGGGGAACAACCTCTCCCCACCTGCCCTATCAAGCGCCCCCTCCACCAAGAGTGCTGTATGTTTCAGTAAGGTCACGTCCCATTCCTCTAAACTCCAATAAGTTCAGGCCGAATGTACTCAACATCTCCTCATCTTCCCTGTCAAGCCCCCCTTTTTCGGTTTCAATACAGTCGCCTATCATTCCTCTAAACTCCAACTAGCACAGGCCTAACCTCTCGTCATAAGACAGTCCCTCCATACCCGGGATCAGCCGAGTGAACCTTCTGTGGACTGCCTCTCACACCAGTCTATCTTCCCCTAGATAAGGGCCCCAAAACCATTCACCCTATTCCAGATATGGTCTGACTAGTGCCTTGTATGGTTTTAGCAAAATCTCCCCCCTCTATTCAATATCTCCACCACAATTTCCTCCCCTTTACATGTGTGTGAATGGGGAATCTCCTGCACAAATTCAGAAGCTTTTTTTTTTTAAATAGGGGGTAATACAAGAAAGGCTTACCTAAGGATAGGGAGAATAAACAGGATTGTAGGATTAGACAGGTATACAGTGTGTGTAAGACAGCAGATTGAGACGGAGCTGAATATTAAAGGGTACAGGGAGTGAGGGAGAGGAGGGGGTTTAGACTGGGTGGGATATTAAACAGTGCAAGGAGTGAGGGGAAGAGGGGGATAAGACTGGGTGGGATATTAAAGGGTGTGGGGTGTGAGGGAGAAATGGAATTAGATGAATATTAAAGGGTGCAGGGAGTGAAGTGGCGGGGGCGCGGGGGGGGGGGGGGGGAAAGAGTGGGATTAGACTGGGTGGGATATGAAAGGGTACAGGGAGCAAAAAGGGGCAGTTTGATTAGACTGGGTGCCTCAAATGGAACGAACACAAGGTCAGATGGGTGAAGGGCCTGCATCACTCTTGCTTAGTGGAACTGTGTAGGGGGAGGCTAGGGCTCAAGTTCGTAAGGCTGTACCTCTGTACTGAAGGTGAGCTCATAGCCCAGAGTAGAAACATCATTCTCCAGCAGGTAGACCAGGCCTTGGTAAAAATGGTAGTCTTCACTTTCCATGTCTGTGTACCTGTGACGAGAAGCAAGAGTTTACAAAATCAGGCTCTCCCCGAGGTGCTGCTTCCAGCCCTACCTGAGCTAGTGATGGTGTCCCCTCACATGCAGCATACAACCAGGAGCCTGGTTAATCTATCAGCAGCATTGGGACACCTCATCCATAGCTGCTCCCGTTATTCTGCACAGGCATGCCTGGCACATATTCAGCCTTTACCTATGACCACGCTGGGTCAGACAGTGAGCCCAATGTGATGGCCAGAAACAAGAGTCTCAAAACATCGAGGATTCTCCCGTGTTCCTCATAGGCGTCAGTTTGCAAATGTATCTCCGTGCCCCCCGATGGAGCGAAATAACTCGGTCTTGCTTCAAATTGCTCAGGGGTACACTCTCTCTGATCTAACAGCTCTCCCTCCTTTGCACAGCAACATACCACACCTTTGTGGCACAGCAGCATCTATGTGCCGCAGGATTGGATGAACACGAGAATGACCGACCCCACACGAACAACCCCGTGTAACATTTGCCAGTGCCCTAGTGGGGAGCAGCCCCACCTGACCCCAAGCCCCACTCCAAAGCCTCGATGATCTAATCCAGGCCCAGGCCCAGGCCCAGTACCAGTACCGAGGGAGGGCCACACTGCCAGAGCTGCTGCCTGTTGATCGGTCACCCTCAACCGACATCGCAGTTGACAGGCAGCACTTTCGCCAAGTGAGGGTTACCCTCACGTATCCCATATGCCTCTTCATTTTCCAGTCCTTCTTGGGGTCCCTCCCACAACTCTTTCCCTAGTACTTCAGTGACTTCATTGGCATCGCTTCCTGCTCTCATCCAGAATTGGAAAAATTCCAACATTTTGATTCTGATTTCCAATCTTCTCTCAACTTCACCTGGTCTACCTCAGACTTTTCCCTCCCCTTTGTCATCTCCTCAGTTTCCATTACTGGCAACAGACTGTCCACCATTATCCGTTACAAACACACTGACTCCTGCAGTTACCAGAACTACTTTGCCTCATACCCTGCTTCCTGTAAGAACACCGTTCCATTCTCCCAGTTTCTCCAACTCTGTCGCATCTATTCCAATGATGCCACTCACCCGCATGGGCGCTTCTGACATGTCCTCCTCCTTTCTCAA